ATTCTACGGCTACGTCTATTAGACGCCACGCATGGCTACGCTCAGCTAACTTATCAGAGGAGGGTAGAGCGCTAGCTGAAGACCTTCCTTTCCACGAGGAGGGTCTTTTTAATCCGGAAACAGATATCAGGATAAAAGAAAAACAGGATGTCAGGCAGGCTGCCAATAAGTTTGGTTACACCTGGCAGCCATACTCTCAACAGAGACAACGCTGGCACCCATATAATTCTAATTTCCGGAAGAGCATGGGGAATTCGTTTCCTAGTCAGGGTAGAAATCGGGGTTACCCCTATAACAAGAATCAAACGGGAAGACGAAACTCCTATTTTTCTAGGCCAAGGACCCAGAATTGGTCTAACAAGGGGAAACCGCAAGGGAATCCAAAAAAGCGTCTTTGACGCTCTGACTCGGGATTCTACTTCAAAACATGACGTGCCCGTTGTTAGTTTAGAGGGCACAGAGGTTACTGTTAATGTTGTAGGTTCTGTTCTCGGGAATGACTCGTTAGGGGCACCTATGTTCGGCGATAGATTAACGCCTTTCTATAATGCGTGGGCTCAAATCACCACGGACAAGTGGGTGCTGTCTATCATAGCCCAAGGTTATTTTATTGAGTTCTTAGACCTGCCACGAGTGGGTCATGTTCGCCATACTCAATTCTCCCAGCCATTAGGGGAAGAAGTTCAGATGTTGTTGAGTAAAGGTGCCATTTCTCCACTTAATGTTGATGATTATTCACAGTGTTTTTTCTCACGTTATTTTCTCATTAAAAAACGTACTGGTGGTTTGAGACCAATCTTGGATCTTCGTTTGTTGAATAAACACGTTATAGCAAAAAGATTTCGCATGATTACTCTTCCTACCATTATGCCCCTTTTATATAAGGGAGCGTGGTTTGCAACCATCGATTTAAAGGATGCGTATTTTCATTTGTCCATCGCTAGGCAGCACCGCAGGTACCTCGCCTTTATGGTGGGTCACACTGCGTATTGTTTTAATGTATTGCCTTTCGGATTGTCCTCGGCCACTAGGGTCTTCACAAAATGTATGTCCGTGGTGGCAGCTTACTTGCACACGAGGGGCATATCGGTCTATCCATATATAGATGATTGGTTAGTTGTGGCTGATTCCCGTTCCCATCTTCAGTCTCAACTTTCTGTCATTTTATCTCTTATACAGTCCCTAGGACTCGTCATCAACAAGGAGAAATCGGCGCTCACCCCGTCTCAACGAATTCAATTCATAGGCGCACTCTTGGACTCCACGACCGAGAGGGCCTATCTTCCGGAAGACCGGTGTGCCAATCTCCAGGAACTAGTCGGACATGCTGTCCATGCTCCTTATCTCACGGCAAAACAGGTCCAGATTTTGTTGGGCCATATGGCTTCTGCTACTGCTGTGATTCCTTATGCCAGATTACGCATGCGTCCGCTGCAATCTTGGTTCATTGCAAATTACAACCCTATTGTGGACAGTCAGGCGACCAAGCTTACCATTCCCGAGGCTGTACGTCAGTCACTTCTATGTTGGGAGGACAGGTCTTGGGTGTGCAGGGGTCTCCCCTTCCATGCCTCCAGGCCGACTTGTACGGTTACGACAGATTCCTCTCTGTCGGGATGGGGTGCCCATGTTCTAGATCTTACTGCTCACGGAGAATGGACAGAAGAGGAAAGAAAAAATCACATAAACCTTCTCGAACTTCTCGCCGTCGAAAGGGCGTTGCAGTCGTTCGAGAGGGTCATAGGAGGTCAAACAATTCAGGTCCTCACGGACAACACGACTGTGATATTTTATTTGAACAAACAGGGCGGCACACATTCTCTTCCCCTCTTGAATCTCTCTCTCAGAATCTGGGACTGGTGCCTGGAGAGAGGGATTCATCTGATAGTAACACATGTGCCAGGGGAGGAGAATATGCTAGCGGATTCGCTCAGCAGAAATCCGCTGGCAAACCACGAATGGTCCCTCAACAGGGGAGAGGTGGACAGGCTTTTTCGGGCCTGGGGTCTTCCCGAAATATATCTATTTGCGTCCAAAGAAAACGCGAAGTGCGCCCTCTTTTGTGCACGGAGGCGCCAAGCAATAAGGGAGGGGTGCTTGGGAGACGCTTTCCTGCAAGACTGGTCAAGTCGCCCAATGTACGCCTTCCCACCTTTTCCCCTGTTATTGAAGGTAGTAGCAAAGATACAGAGGGAAAACGTACATTGCATTCTAGTGACCCCGTGGTGGCCGAGACAGCCTTGGTTTTCCCCGTTGCTTCGAATGTCCCAGAAAATCTTCTTCCGTCTTCCCGACAGAGCGGATCTCTTATCCACTCAGGGAGGCCGGGTCCTGTATCCGGAGGTACAGAAGCTGCGGCTGACAGCGTGGAGAATCCTGCCGAGCCAATGATCCCTATTTCAGCCCTGTCTGATAGGGTTAAGACCGTCATTGAGGCTGCCCATAAGGCCTCAACGAAAAGGTCGTATGTCTATAAGTGGGATAAGTTCTGTAAGTTTGTGAGGTCGAGAGGTGAAGATCCGACTGATACCCCGATCACGACGATACTAGATTTTCTGGTGTCTCTTTCTGATGCTGGATTATCGTATTCGTCGCTTAAATGCTATCTTGCGGCGATCTCGTGGTTTCGAAGAAAAGGGGGTTTTTCCTCTTGTTTTTCTGACCCATTAGTTAAGCTGTTTTTAAGAGGGATGGCGAATACCAATCCGCCTGTGGCACCGATAGTTCCGGCATGGAACCTTGAGTTGGTACTTTCTGTTTTGACCAAACCACCATTTGAGCCATTAGCCACTGCGCACATTGCGTACGTTTCATGGAAAACGGCCTTTTTGACGGCCATTACTTCAGCTAGGAGGGCAAGTGAATTATGTGCACTACGGGTAGATCCCCCGTATTTGAGGATGCACAAGGATAAAGTGGTGCTCAGGACGGATGTTGCCTTTTTACCCAAGGTATCTTCCTTTTTTCACATGTCCCAAGAAATAATACTTCCCTCGTTTTTCCAAAACCCATCCTCGCCCATGGAACGCAGTTTGCATCTATTAGATGTCAGGAGGGCTATAGCATTCTATATGGACAGGACGGCGTCCCTTAGGAAGACGCCACGTTTATTTATCAAATATCGTAAGGACATGGTAGGATTACCTGTGTCATCCCAAAGATTTTCTTCTTGGATTACTTCAACTATTAAGTTATGCTACCGTTTGGCTGGCAAAGACTTACCGTTACAGGTCAAGGGCCATTCCACCAGGGCCGTGTCAACCACGACTGCCTTCATGAAGGGAGTGCCATTGGATGTCATCTGCCGAGCAGCTATCTGGACGAGCCCTTTGTCYTTTGTGTCCCATTACAAGTTGGACATCGCTTCCAAGAGAGACGCAGAATTCGGCAGAGCGGTGCTGTTTTCGGCYGTGGCATGACTCCCTCCAGCCACGGTCAGTAGCTCGCTAATCTACCAAATGTATGATTCGCAGTGACTACGCAAGGAAATTATAAGTTGCTTACCTGTAACTGTAGTTTCCTTAGTAGTCACCTGCGAATGCATACATACCCGCCCTTCCTCCCCGCACGTGTCATGCCGCGCCTTCCAGCTGCTTAGCGGCGGAAGAGAACTGCCGGCTGGCCCCGCCCACGGGCTATTTATGCGGGAGAGAGTGGGCGTGGCCAAGGGCTAACTGTCATTTTTTTGCTTTTAAAGGGTTCCGAATGCTGCGATGCACGCGCAGAGAGTACCAAATGTATGCATTCGCAGGTGACTACTAAGGAAACTACAGTTACAGGTAAGCAACTTATAATTCTTCAAGTAGTCATTGTGAAATTTGCACATCTCTGCGCATCCTCCCTGCTGTTGTCATGCCTTGGTTCTTTGAGCTTTTCTATTCAGTGGAGGAACTGAGGTAGTAGCCCCACCCACCAGCTATATACTCTGTAGAGAGTGGGCAGGGCTACCACCAAAATGTATCTGAAGCTTTTGAGAGGATTGCATTTCTGACTGCGCAAGTGCAGGAAATACCATATGTCCCAATTTCATAGATAACCACTCAAAGAAGCACGTTTACAGGTAAGCAACCATTGCTTCTTGATACTTAATTTTGCCAAAAATCATAGACTTGGTGGAAGCTATCTGACCAGCATTCATCCAAGAATGAAAAGTGCAATTGCAAATTTGTGTGCTCAAAATCCATACATTCGAGGCATCTGAAGGAGACTTATGCTCAATAGTAAGGAAAGCTGCTGAGAGATGCAGAAGAATTGTGAAGCTCATAGTACCTGATTCTTACATTCATCCAAGAAATCCAGGATGTAATGTTCTTGGAGCCCAAATGGCAAGCATAATAGACAGGGTAGGGGATACAAAAAATGAGGTGGATTCTGCAAGCTTCTTGTAGACGGATGAAATGTATTGGATTTACTGAAGAACTTTTCTGTTGTAGTAAATCATTAGAACATTGATTTAGTTATAAGGGCTTATTAAACCCAACTGTGGTTTTAGAGAGAAAAAAAATCACATTTATCCTTTATGTATAATTAAATAATGTTTTTTTGAAGATTTTTTTATTGAAAGAAATGTAATAATTACAGTAAAACAAAGAAAAGAAAAAGAAGAAAGGGGATCTCTAAATAGGAAAATATAAGGAAAGAAGGAAAGGAGAAGGGAAGGGAACAGGAGAAAAGAAAAGCAATGAGTAGAAGAGGGAGGGAAGAGAGCTGGGGGGGGACTACAAATTTCTTGACTTCCGTTCTTCTTCCATTCATTCAATTCTATTAATTTTCATTTCATAACAAACAAATGCTTTCCCTTATTTCAGTTATTCCAAATTCTCCCTTTCTTTTTGTTAATCAGTATTTCGTTTTTAAATATTCTTCATAGATTGCTCAGTCTATCATTTTCATGCCTTTGCCGGTATTTTTCTTTAACAAGAATGTAAATCTGTCCATGTCCTTTATCTCCATTATCTTATCCAACCAAATTAATGTTTTTTGTTTTTGTTTTTTTTTAGTAAGAACTTCACCTGACACTTCTACGTTCTTTCTTTATAATGGAGAAATAGTCAGAGGAAAGAAAAAATTCTATGAGCCTGGAGATAACATTACTGTTGAGTGTCATCCTGGCTTTGCATTAAATGGGCCAAATGAAATTCGATATGTTGGTGGGGGAAAGTGGTTACCTATACATCCAAGGTGTTACCTGAGTATGTATAAAGTCTGTAAATATATCAGAACATTTGTGTGTAAGATGAATTTGGCTTTTTTGTCACTTTGGGTTTTTTTTTCCAAATAATATCTACACTTACACTTTAATGTGGCTTTCAGATTACCTGAAACTGTGGTAGCCATACATGCATACCACCAGTGCCCACTGCAGTGCGCTTCTAAAGGTATATAGTGCATTAAAAAAGATCTCTGAAAAGTCCCAATTTCAGCCAAAAGATATGTGGCAGCAGGTGCCAGTATATCCCAGATACAGGGTGAAATTGGCTGCAAGAAATGCTGATGCACAGTAAAGCCCCTCAAACGAGAGCTGAAGAACAAGGTCCCAAGACTGTGGTTACTCAGCTTCCTGGGAGGAGTAATTGATTACTTCCACTGCTGTCACCCCCCCCCCCCAAATTTGTATCCAGTGTACTAATACACATCTCTTCTGGAATTGGGGGTGTGGGGGTGGGGAGCCTGCAAGGAGGTTTGACTCCAGGTTCAGTGGCAAATGTACTCTGTTTTTGGGCTCAAACCAGTTCCAGGTGTGGCAGTCTGATCAGCCACACAATGAAACTGGTCCCACTCAAACTTGTCTCAAACTGGATTATAGTATAGTGTAGAAGCACTTTATGATATCTTATTTTTACTATCTGGATTTGTAAGAGTTTAAACAGTAGACTATAAAGATGGAGGATTCAAAATACTATGGCCTTATTGGAATGACACAATCAACCAGGGTTCTTTGGGAACTTGGCTGATCAGTTATGAGAAGCATTGCTTCCCTATCACTCCCACTTGCAGTTTTGTTCCACAGATTGATTGGTGTATCATCCAGACATTAGATGCAGTTCTGTCTCTGGATGGTTTTCTCCCACAACTTGCTAGAGATGGAGATCTGAAAAAAATTGATCCTGAGGTGAGGCTTCTCACTCTAGCTGAAAAATGGTGGGGAGCAGTAGAGGCTTCAATTTAGTTTTTCATTCTTCAACTTTTCCCCTATGCCATTGTAATTTGAAGTGGGCATCTGAGCATTTTAGCTGGTGGAAGAAGTTGATTTCAAGTTGATTTCAAGAAGTGACACAAAATAATTGAAAAACATGCGCTAGAAATTCAACAGCATCCATCCTGCAATTTTCAAAATAAGTGAAAAATGTCTACTAGCAGTACAACTACATCCACAATGAGCTACATCATTGAATAGTATATTTCTGAGGTGTCTTCTAGTTTGAATACTTTTTGACATTAGTATAAAACATTTGTGTAATTGATTAACATGTCAGAATACTTTTCCTCTCTTTTAGATGCTTTTTTAAGACTACTAATAACTGGTATGTATTCATATAAGGAACATGAAGATGTAATCATAGGTTTCACATATAGGTCCAATGTTTATCATTTTTTAAAATATACTAATACTGGACCCAGGGTCACAAAAGACTGGATATTGCCCAAAGTTAAGCGTTTTTAAGCTTCACTTATTTCATTTTTTTTAAATAGCACATTTTTATTCTTTAATTCTGGTGAAGAAGACACCAACTGTGTATACCCTCATTCCTTTCAGAGTTTAACTTGCTACTCAGATCTTTTCTCACCATTTTTCTGTACTGTTAAATATGAAAGCAATCACAAATTTGAATGAGGTATAATTTAAAATCCTGCTAAGTATTAAGATTTCCGAGCAATAGTGCTGATGAGACAGGGATGAGACAATGTAGAAGAGATTTGGACATGGACATGAAACCTAGATTGAGGTAGAGGGGGGGGGGCAGTTCTGGCTGTGTGGCTGACTGTTCTACAGAGCCTGAGGTGCCAAAGAAAAGATCTATGGTCTGCAGTTAATCTATGGACTTCCAATTTTTGAAGTAGTCATATCTGAGATTTTCACAAGGGAAAAATGAACTATTTCATATTGGATCTCAAATTTTAAAAATGTGGGGAAATCTCCATGTGTAGATATAACTAACTCAAAAGTAGATAACACAAGCCAACAAGTATTTTTCATCAGATATAATTTTAGGTCATTCTTCTAGAGATTTTTGCGCTGAATTCAGATCTGTGTTTATTTTTTCCCTATCACATGTAGTTTTTATGATGATGCTAATTGAATAATTAATGCATTTACGCACTGATATCAACTAAATCTAATTGATATCAGTGCATAAATGCATTAATTATTCAATTAGCCTCACTGCAAATACTACACGTAATAGAGGGGGGAAAGCCACAGATCTGACTTCAATGCAAAAAACTCTATAAGAATGACCTAACATTGTATCTGATGAAAAATACTTGTTGGTTTGTGTTACATGAATATGATGTGAAATGTGCAGACTTTACAGTAGTCCAGTAATGTACCATTCGTCATATTTTAAAAAGTTGATATGATGGGAAAAAATAAAGACATATTTTAAATCAGCATAAAAATTGATTTAAACTATGCTACTCTCATTTCTGATGATTACAAAGTTTGATTTTGTTGGCTTATCAAATATATTGTTAGTCTTAAATGGAAGACCACTGTATTGTATGTTATTGCAATATTTAAGTATGAAGCAGATTGTCTTTCACCCCTTTAACAAAAACTTCTTCCTATTAACCTTGAGCATGATATTTCTTATCATCCATGTTTTTATCTAACATACTGTTTTATCTTCTCTTCCTTAAGTCTTAGTGTTTATTGCTCTGTTTCTGATATTGGAAATGGCTTACAGGAAATGGTAAGAGACTTCTTTTTAAGAGATTTTTCTTCACATATTTTGCATTTCTAATTACCATCTGATATGCTTAACACAAAGGCTATCTCTGTGTCTAAAAGATGTATTCTTGACTGTTAGTCTGATAGATAGGATAGGACCACTTATTCCACATGTGTCAAACGCAGTCTGGCCCAGCACTTCATTTTATGTGAGGATTTCAATGACAAGGTGACATTATTACATTTATACAGTCTACAATTGCAGATGACCCTTTGAAGACAGCTGTAACACTGATGTGGTCCTAAGTGAAAATGAGTTTGACTTTTCAGCATGGTGCTGCAAAATTAATGCTACCCTTCAAACAAAGTAAATGTCTGCCTTTTAAACAAAATCTTCTGTTGTATAATCCTTGTTTGGGTGGAAGCAGGACTAAATCTAGGGACCAAAGTGTTAGGGAAATTTCCCCAAAGCAACAACCCCATTTAAAAGACAAAAAGAACACTCGATAGAGCATTTAATTCACAGCAAGCAGAAAACAATGTAATGTGGCTGTTAAGAATTCTTGATTTTAAGGAAGGAAATACAGAGTTCAATTTTAAAAATTTCAAAAGGTTTATTAACACATAAGAACTATATTTCTTGAGATAAAATAATTGAGCCTGAGCTTTCTCTCTAACTCCATTACTTCTAAGTTCAAACAAAAGGAAAAATCTCTAAAGACTACATTTTCTCATTCACACACAACTAGAGAGAGACACACAGGCAGAAAAGAACAGAATAGATTAAAGGAGTGAATGAATGACCATTAGGTCTTAAAACAAAGGAACATGCATCCTGAAGAAATTCCATTCTGCGTCATCAGAAAAAGATATAGAGTGAGACAAGAGACACAACAACAGGCATACAGAAATGAGGGAGAAGGGATTCCTGCAGCCTAGCTTTTTTTTTCAAAAAAAAAAATCATTTAATTCTGTCTGCTTCTCATTGAGGACTGCAAACTTGAGCAGTGCGAGGTTAAATTCAAACATATTGCTGACTGTCCCCTCCTGATTTTGGGCAGTTATCCCCTATAGCCCCATAGAATAGAAGAGATTATAACTAGAAGAAGTAATAGCTTATCCCATCCCAACACATATGTGGAAGTACTTCGTACATATGCAAGGCCCAATGTGGATCCCCACTTATATAAGCCTTACAGTCACTCTAGTCACTAATCTTTAAATGTTAATAGAAACATTCCCTTTCACTCATTTCTGTTTTATTGTTTGTTGGATTCTTTTGGTTTTGATATTTTATTTTGAATTTTTTTAAAATACTGTTTCTTCAATTCACACATGGTAGCTATGAGTTTATAGTTATTACATGCTTGCAGATAGAAAAAGGTACATTATCAAAAAGACTTCTGTTAAAGTGAATTCCCTTTCAAAGTTATTTAATGCTATCATCATGGCTGTTGTGAAGTTATAACACTTAGGTACTCTCATTAAAATAAATGTGGAATTAAAGTATGGCAGTGTAATGTACATATTTTTCCTGTTGGGAGATCTCTGTGCAGGGAAAAATATGAACTGTTTTCCTCGTCTATACACAATTAATAATTATCACTGTGGAAAATAGCTCACATGCTTCACAATACCTTCTTCTGTATCAGCAATATTGTGAATCAGTCTGTAGTAATCTTAAATACAGTAAGGCTGCTGTATTCCTAAGGGCTACACTTGCAGTTGGACTGCAGTTAGCTGGAGATAACTCTACACCATTAAATTATCTGGCTTCCAGTCCCAGCATACCATGGAGTAGCTAGACCCTCCAACACATCTTTGGGTTAACTTCCAAGGTAAGTATGCAATAGAATCACCTGGAGGAACTTATGAATTCCTAGAGAGATTTTTTAATTTATCGTGTCATCAGCAACCATACCATTGTATTACATTTCTAACAGAGCAAAACAAACACAGAGATTTAAAAAAACAAAAACAAAACAAAAAACCACACAGATTTTGCAAACTTGGTAGTTGGTTAAATGTCCTTTGACCAGTATCTGGCCACTTGGAGTGCCTCTGGTGTTGCCGCAAGAAGGTCCTCCCTTGTGCATGTAGCAGGTGGTCAGTGGTTTGCTCTTCTCTGCACTCGCATGCCAAGGATTCCACCCTGTAGCCCCATTTCTGAAGGTTGGCTCTGCATCTCGTGGTGCCAGAGCGCAGTCTGTTCAGCGCCTTCCTAGAGAGATCATGTACGCAGGTATGCAAAACTGCAGATTATGTGTTCCGCAATTGCCCTAGACTTACTGTATTAAAAATAAAACTGCCTTGAATCACCTGAGGGCTGAGAAGGGTGGTATACAAACACAATAAATAAATAAATAAATAAATAAATAAATAAATAAATAAATAAATAAATAAATAAATAAAATGTTATGTGAAAATGATTTCTTCTACTAATTTAATCTTTAAAATCTAAATATTTTTGTTCATCTTTTGACAATATTCTCACATTCAGGAAATTAGAACATCGGTAGTATCAAGAACAGTATACAGTACAATATTCTTTAAAACTACACATCGTTCATGTAGGTAAGTACTTTTTAAATAAAATGTTTGCCTTTCAATGATTGTATATCCTTATACATAAATTATGATTGTACATATGTAACAGTGTAAATGACAAACTGGAGTAAAATGCCTAGTACTTCTTAATATCCCCATCCTGGTACCTTCTTCATACATTTGCTCTACTGCTGTGCTCAAGAAGCTTCTGCTCTGCTAAAACTGCTGCTGTTTTATATTTTAAACACTTTTTTCCTTTTTTGAAATTAACCAACAAAAGGTTCGGAGCCGGGGAGCGGGGGTGGTTCAGCTGAGAAGAGGATGCTTCCCCCCCCCCCCCAACCCGGCCTTCCTTCTTTTGCCTCCTTTCTGGTGGCTCTGCCTTGACAGAAAACTACGTTCTTCTATGTCATGACCCCAACATAAAGTCACGGCGAGCTGATTTGGGGTTGGGGTTCATAGTTTAAGACGTTTTGCTCTAGACGAACACATACAAAGCTTGCAATATGATTTAAAATTGCAATGTCCTTCTAAAGATGACTATAATTTTTTTGCATTTTTTTCTGTAGGTGAAAATTATTTCTTTTGTCAGCAACCATCTGTCTTGCTTTGTATTCAAAGCTAACATGTTAGAGACAACGTCCTATACTCAACACTTTCTGAAAAGGACTGGTTTGTCTATATGGCCAAATCAACCAGTTCATTCTCTGAGCCTGAATAACAAGTTACGTTAGAAGAAATACCGGAACCTGACAGCATTAGGGGGAACAAGCAACATTGCAAAAGTAACAAGGAAGAACAGTTACTTTACGAATGTAATGAATAATGGCATCTTACTTTCTAGCTTTTTTTCTAGCCATTTTGATAGGAACTATTTTGTGCTTTGATTACCAAATGGACATCGGTTCCTAAGAAAAAGCTTAAGAAAAACTAATGCAGAAGTAACAAGTGGCATGAAAGGTGATACAGTGAGTCCTCATAATCACAGCACAATAATTTAAAAAGAATAATGTAATAAATTATTTTTAAAAGCTCAGAGAAAATCTTCATTCAAAGGGATAGTTTCTCCCATGGACTCTGACTGATGTGTATAAGCAACAATAAATATCAGACTATCAAAACAGCACTTTAATGAACTACCCAGGACATATTTAATATACTTTCTATTATGAGGGACTACAAACCCAAAAAAGCTGGCAATTATGTTATAGCTGACTTGTTTTTCAAATCTTATTTTAGCATGCTTTAAATATTACTCTGAAGTTAGATTATTGCCTCTAGGTTCTTTCATTGATTTATATTTCAAAGCTAGTTTTATTTTTCATGTTGGGAGCGACTTGAGAAGCTGCAAGTCGCTTCTGATGTGAAAGAATTGGCCATCTGCAAGGACATTTCCAAAGCTAATAATGATGATATTCAACAATATTTTGTCAGAGATGTATGGTATTTGAAATTAGGAGAACTGTTTTAGATGTGTAAATTAGGTATCCAAGGGAGACAAATATAATGTTATGTAAATATCTAGCTTTTATACAAAAAATAAGTGTTTTATATGTTTTATTTACAATATTTATGTGTCTTCCATTTTCCATATGCACCACTCAGCAAATACCTCCTTAAACTTTGTCTGAGATCAATTTGTGTATACATTATTTGTCAGAAAAAGTGATTCCTTTGCTTTCTGATGGTTTGATGTACACAAAATTGGTTTCATGAACAGAAATATTATTAAAAATATTATCTTCAGCCTATGTGTATAAAGTGTATTAAAAAACCTCCGACTTCCTGGGAGACGAAAAAGACGCAGGTGCCTCTATCTGGGAGTGTCTCTGGGTACAACAGGAACTGAAGGAAGGAAAAGGAAAGCACCCCAGAGACACCCCCAGTTGAAGTTTGGGGAGGCTAAAGATCGTGTAAAATTACAATTCCCAGAGCCAGGCATATAGCCGGGGGAGGGGGGGGGTGGGGGGCTTCAGCCCCCCCCCCCCCCGAAATTCTCATGGTGTGTGAAAAGGCCTTACTGGTACATTATTTAAACTGTTATGTTTATTCATATCATGATCTGATCACCATGCTCAATATATCTCATATGCATGGGGGTATTGGGGTAACAATACAAAAGGTTTGCTAGGGTAGACCCTCTTTCACTCAGACTCACCCCCCCCCCCCCCCCGAATCAAAATCCTGGCTACGGGCCTACCCAGAGCTATTCTCTAACATTGAGTCTTGGCAGCTCAAGAGGTGCCAGATTGCATTCATTCTTCAACCAGACCTGCTTCCTTCATTCCTGCTGGAGAAGGAGTCCAGAACACAGCCACTGGAAGCGCTGACGAAGAAAACACTGAAAGTAGTCTCAAACTGCATTCACTCTATATCAGACATGGGTAAACTTTGGCCCTCCAGGTATTTTGGACTTCCACTGTCACAACTTCTAACAGCCTGTAAACTGGCTGTGATTTCAGGGAGTTGAAGTCCAAAACAACTGGAGGGCCAAAGTTTACTCATGCTTGCTCTACACAATGTACTGCCTTCCCTTTACTTCAGCTGTTAGTGGATGCTGGCTTGGGATCCCAAGGGGCCATCCACTCCAACCCTCTTCTGTATGCAGGAAAGGCACAATCATAGTATCGCAGAGTTTGAAGAGCTCCCAAGGGACCATGTAGGAAAAGCACTATCAAAGCACCTCAGACAGATGGCCATACAGCCTTTGTAATAATAGCAGCAGCAGTATGGGTTTTTTTCTAAACTAAAACCTCATTATTCAGGATAAATTGCTGTATTGGCACTTTGCAAGAAATAAGTGAGTTTTGGATTGCAGTTTGGGCATCAAGTCTCTAAAATGATTGCCATCGCAGCCCTTTGAGGAGTGGCTTAAAGAGCCGGGGCTGTTTAGCCCGCAGAAGAGAAGATTGAGAGGAGATGTGGTAGCCATGTATATGAACGGATGTCATAAGGAAGAAGGAGGAGGCTCCTTTGGAGGCTTTTAAGTGGAGTCTGGATGGCCATCTGTTGGGGGTGCTTTGAATGTGAGTTTCCTGTTTCTTGGCAAGGGGTTGGACTGGAAGTTTCTTCCTACTCAATGATTCTAAGGAGCAAGATTGTTTTCTGCAGCCCTGGAGACAGCGATTGGGAACAATGGGTTCAAAGGACAGGAAAGGAGATTCCACCTGAAGCCATTAGGAAGAACTTCCTGATGGTGAGAGTTGTTCAGCAGGGGAACTCTCTGCCTCGGAGTGTGATGGAAGCGCCTTCCTTGGAGGCATTTAAACAGAGGCTGGATGCTTTGTGCTTTTCCTAGATGGCCATGCGGTCTCTTACAACGCTGTGATTCTGTGATTCCTCTCTTAGATATCTCATGAGGGAGTGATGCAAAAGCAGGTATTCAAAAATTCAGAAATCCCCAAGCATTTCGAATAAGGGATACTCAACCTTCTCGCCCCCTAGAGGCAGGAAGCGTAATAGACTCTGCTGCCTTCCCGCCTCTCCGGATACCTCCCCCTCCCTTCCCAAACGCATGCGCACTTCCGACATTCGGCGCCTGCTCCGGCTCCTTCGCGCGCCACACGCATGCGCATTCGCGGCCTTCGGCGCCGCCAGGGCGACATGCCCCAACAGTCATGGCGGCGCGGCCTTGTGTGGGTCCGGCGATGGCTGTGCTTTGTGGCGCTGACGGCCTTCCCTCCGGGAGTCGGTAAAACACCCCGCCGCTCCTGTTCTTTCCCTGGAAGCCACTTTTTCTCTCCAGCCTCAAACCCTGAGGAGGCGAGGTTTCCTGGACCGAAAGCCTCGGCCCAAAATGGCGGGGAAAGGCTCCCGTCGCGGTGGTCGGGAAATCAAAAGGAAGGGGGCCCTCCGCGGTCGCCCGAAGTTTAAGAGGCACCCGGAGATGTGTTTGTTGATGGCGATGCAGGGTGGCCCTTGTCCAAAATGTTTGGGTCCAGACGTGTTTCCTTTTTATATATTTTGGAATAACTGCATTTTGTGAATTACCCAATTTATCATCCCAACCTAAACCCCAAGCTACATTTTGTGTCATATACGCATAGTCCGAAGGTCAATCTGGGTTGGGATTTCCTTTGTGGCTGTTCTCTTCTTCCCTTTCTCCCTCTGTCCTTTTGTCTTTTCTTTCGTTCTTCCCATTCTTTCACCCACACCTGCCTTCTTTTCTTTCTTTTCCTTTTAAATTCTTCCCCCTTTTTCCATTGCTTTCTCCTTCCTTTCCTTCACTCACCTTTTCTCTTTACATGCCCTTCTTTCTCCCCTCCTTTCTTTCCATTAGTTTTCTCTCGTTCTTTCCTCCCCGTAACACTTGTCACCAATCTTCTTCACTGTCCTCTCCTTGTTACACCACAGAGGGCCACTTCACCGAGCAACAACCAACCTACTTCGTTTCTTTCTTCCCTCTACTTTTTCCCTTTCCTTGCTCTTCCACCCCTCCGTTTTTATTCTTCCCCCAATACTTCCCTTCTTTTTCTTCCCCCTCCCTCTAACACAGACATGGGCAAACTTGGGCCCTCCCATTGTTTTGGACCTCCAGCTCCCACAATTCCTAGCAGCCTCAGGTCCTTTCCTTTTCCTCCTCGCTGCTTAAACGGCTTGAGGAGGAAAAGGAAGGGTCCTGAGGCTGGTAGGAATTTTGGGAGTTGGAAGTCCAAAACACCTGGAGGGCTCAACTTTGCCCATTCCTGCGCTAACACTTGTCATCTAGCAGCAGTCAAGCTTTCTCTTTCTTTTCCTCCTTCACTCTCACCTTTCCTCTTTCCATTCTCTTCCTTCTCTCCTTTCTTTCCCTTTGTTTTCTTGTTCTTCCCTGCTTCTAATCCCTGTCACCTTCACTCCTCTTTCACATTACAGAGGGGCCACTTCACCTAGATACAACCAACCTGCTTCATTCCATTTCTTTACTTGATCTCTGTGCCCAAAAGGGATGTTTTTTTCAGTCTAACCCTTGCCATTATTTTAAGTTGGATCTTGAAGGGCAGGTGCGCCAAGTCTAGCTCAGTTCCATCAAACCATGTGGGAACCTTTGCAGTATAAACCAACATACATACTTTGAGATATGTTTATATATATTTGAAATTATTTTGTGCACATTGAACCATCAGAATGGAAAGGTGTGGTCTCACACATCTATGTGTAGAACTTGGGAGCGTTTTGGATTTCTGACTAAAGTTATATAGGGCTCACTCCAGGATCCCACATCTTACATGCCCTACGTACTTTCTTCAGTACTGAGATTATGGATGTTTTTTCACCAGTGTTGTACAACAGAGCCAATTGTCTGAGTTGCTTCTGCAGAATTCTGGGAAATTCCTGGTAGAGCCTCAAAGCCCTTGGAATTCTCAGCTGCCTAAACTATATTTTCCAGAACTCTGCAGGAGCAGATCAGACAATTGGCAGACGATAGTCTCCATTCTATAATGCTGGTGGGAAAACGTCCAAAGGGAGATAGACTGGATGTAAGAAGGGAACCTCTTGAAGGCTGTCCTTCCCTGTGTGTGACATTGCAAGATGGTTTGTTGTCAAGTATTAATTGAATGGACAGCAAAGATTGTTACCAGATGTGTTCCCTTATCTGGAAATTTGAAGCACTCCAAAATTGTCTATTGAAATTGTTACACTTTCACTATCAGATGGTTCAGTGTACACACTTTGTTTCATACATAACATTATGAAAGATATTGCATATAAAATTATCTTAAGGCTAATGTATATAAAACATTTGATTTTTTTGTTTAGGCATGGATCCCATTCTCAAGAAACCTCATAATAATATGCAAACATTCAAAAATCCAGTATACTTCTGGTGCAAAGGATATTCAACTGTATTTATTTATTTATTTATTTATTTGCTATTTGTATACCGCATTTATCAGCCGTGACCGGCGACTCAATGCGGTTTACAGTAAAAGTTGTGCACACTAACAATGTAAAGACAAACATACACAAACGACACACATATAGACATCAACGCCTCACATAAAATCAGATTCCGTTCTCACATTCCATTGCCGTTCCTTGTTCAGTTATGCCGTCTTCCTGGATTTAATTGCAATTGCACAGCTATCCGAACGCCTGCTCAAAGAGCCACGTCTTAACCCTCCTCCGAAACACCAGCAACGAAGGGGCCTGCCTGATGTCCGCTGGTAGGGCATTCCATAGCCGAGGGGCCACCACCGAGAAGGCCCTGTCTCTCGTCCCCGCCAACCGCGCTTGTGATGCCGGCGGGACCGAGAGCAGGGCCTCCCCGGACGATCTAAAATCTGTAGTTCTAAAATGGACTCCCACTTGACTTCAGAAAGCCTTTTGCAACTGTAACAGTTCTTTTCCTGTGTATTTATTTTACAAGTGTGAATTTTTGCCCTAGAAGAACATTTAGACTGGAGCCCTGTACTCATATTTATTGGGATAAGGCTTGTTGGGGGAAAAAATCCTGACTGAGTTCAGTAATGTTTCTGAGCAAGTGCAACAGTAATATATTCAGAAAGGAAATGACTTTCTTTGTAACTTCTGTTTGTTTAACAAAATCCTGAAGCCATATGTATAAACATTTTATTCTCTTAGATTTCAGACAACTATACTTGGCTGTTTGAGCAAAACCTGAAGGCTTCAATATCTTTTTATCTCTAGTTCTGTTTGAAATTCTTTGTTTTTTAGTCTGAAGATGTTTTTCCTCTTTATTGCTTTACTCATGTCTGCTTATACAGTCTATTTATAGGAATTTACAGGTACTTGTTTTTCTTTTTTCTGGTTCCTTAGTTGTCTGCCTTTTAAGCTGATAATTTTGATCAATCTGTAGTACTGTATCTTCTCTCCCTTCCCTTTGTATCTTTCTATTTGGTAATTTATTTTGTGAATATTAACATTTGTTCGGATTTAGTTATTGTATATTTGAGGTCCTTAATTCTGATTTCAAGTTTAGAAAGCCCTTTAAAATTCCATCAACATTTGCAAAGTTGCAATGGAAGGATATAGAATGACTATTGGAATGGCCCCGGATTGCTATTGTGGATGGCATGGTTTTAATAATGGATGTAATGTTTTTTAATGTTTTAATGTGCATTAATTGGAATCTTAATTTAAATGTTTGTTTTAATTTTATATTTTTAAGGCATTGAATAAGTTGCCTATGTAAAAGCCGCCTTGAGTCCCTTCAGGGTTGAGAAAGACAGGGTCTAAATATGGTAAATAAATAAATAAAAATAGTTGTGACCGAAAACCTGCTTTTCTTTGCAAATTGCTTCCCTCCCACATCAAGCAGAAGTTAGTGGGAATGTTTGCTCTTTGACTCCTTCCCTTGAGTCATTTTATTCTGGACATTTAATGTACTTCTTTTTGTCCGTCATATATATTTTATTATTTTGAAAATAGACTTTTATTGTTTATATTTTGGCATATAACCTGTCTTAGATAATGCACTAGAGAGACAGAACATGGTGTTTATCTTTGTTATATTTTCTGAACAATTCTTAGGTAACTGCTCTGTTGCTGACTTGCCCCGATTTGCTTATTCTGAACATGACTCAGTTCCAGAACCTGTTCCAGAGGGCTACCCTGTTACATATACCTGCAAATTAGGCTTTGTAAGGATTCCTGAAAGGAAAGGAAACACTGTGTGCCGAAATAATACTTGGTCACCAATAGAAGAACCTTGTACTGGTATGTCCCACTCTGAGTCCCCTTCGGGGTGAGAAGGGTGGCATATAAATGTTCGCAGCTTGGGAGGTTCGCAGCTTGGGAGTGATCCTGGACTCAATGCTGAGCCTGGAACCCCAGGTCTCAGCGGTGGCCGGGAGAGCTTTCGCACAATTAAAACTTGTGCGCCAGCTGCGCCCGTACCTTGGGAAGTCAGATCTGGCCACGGTGGTCCACGCTCTTGTCACATCCCGGTTGGATTACTGCAACGCACTCTACGTGGGGTTGCCTTTGAAGACTGCTCGGAAACTACAACTAGTCCAGCGAGAAGCAGCCAGATTGCTCACCGGAGCGGCGTACAGGGAGCATACCACCCCCCTGTTGCGTCAGCTCCACTGGCTGCCGATCCAATTCCGAGCACAATTCAAAGTGCTGGTTTTGACCTACAAAACCCTATACGGTTCCAGCCCAGTGTATTTGTCCGAACGGATCTCCCTCTACATCCCATCTCGAAGTTTAAGATCTTCTGGGGAGGCCCTGCTCTCGACCCCGCCACTGTCACAAGTGAGGCTGGCGGGGACGAGGAGCAGGGCCTTCTCAGTGGCGGCCCCCCGCCTGTGGAACGCCCTCCCCGGGGAGATTAGATCGGCGACCTCCCTCCTAGCATTTAGGAAAAAACGACCTGGATGTGGGACCAAGCCTTTGGTCATTCTGACAACTAACTTAAGGATCTGACGATAGACAAGGACAAATGGAATGGAATGGATATATGGACTCTGAACCCTGAGCATGAGATTGTTTTATTATTTTATTATGTGTTGATGTTTTAATTTAACTGTTGAATTGTTTTGTATTTTGTATTGCTTGTCAATGGATTTGGGCATCTAATTGTGCCTCCTCTGTAAGCCGCCCTGAGTCCCCCCACCCCCCCGGGGTGAGAAGGGCGGGGTATAAGTAAGTGAAATAAATAAATAAATAAATAAATAAAAATGTCGTAAATAATAATAAATAAAATACAAAAATGATATTTACAGAACCTAGCATTTCTCAAAAGATTAATACAAGACTGGACTTTATATGGCATACAAGGCTGATTTTTGTGGCCCAATGCAAGAAACTTATAGTATGTGTTACTCAAAGATGAAAAATGATGTATACTTGGCTATTCCTAAAAATTACTCTAATTCATGAGTGGGCTTCATATGGCACACAGATGGTTTTGATTTTCCTAGGTATTGTCAGCAGGAGGTAGACTGAGAATACTTGGGAATATCAAAACCAGCTGTGTGTTTTTTTAGGGTGGGTGGGGTGACTGCCAGAAGCCCTTCCCATAGATCTCTTGCAACGCTATAATTCCCGCCTCCTAGAGGCAGGAGGCGTAATAGCCTCCGCTGCCTTCCCGCTTCTCGGGATACTTCCCCCTCCCTTCCCACACGCATGCGCACTTCCGATATTCGGCGCCTGCTTGGGCTCCTTCGCGCGCCACACGCATGCGCATGTGCGGCCTTCGGCGCCGCCAGGGCGACATGCCCCAACAGTCATGGCGGCGCGGCCTTGTGTGGGGCTGGCGATGGCTGTGCTTTGTGGCGCTGGCGGCCTTCCCTCCGGGAGTCGGTAAAAACGCCCCGCCGCTCCTGTTCTTTCCCTGGAAGCCACTTTTTCCCCTCCCAGGCGCCACCTCCGGCCTCAAACCCTGAGGAGGCGAGGTTTCCTGGACCGAAAGCCTCGGCCCAAAATGGCGGGGAAAGGCTCCCGTCGCGGTGGTCGGGAAATCAAAAGGAAGGGGGCCCTCCGCGGTCGCCCGAAGTTTAAGAGGCACCTGGAGATGTGTTTGTTGATGGCGATGCAGGGTGGCCCTTGTCCAAAATGCATGGGTCCAGACGTGTTTCCTTTTTATATATTTTGGAATAACTGCATTTTGTGAATTACCCAATTTATCATCCCAACCTAAACCCCAAGCTACATTTTGTGTCATATACGCATAGTCCGAAAGTCAATCTGGGTTAGGATTTCCTTTGTGGCTGTTCTCTTCTTCCCTTTCTCCCTCTGTCCTTCGTTCTTCCCATTCTTTCACCCACACCTCCCTCCCCGTTTCTTTTTCTTCCTTTCCCTCACTCTCACCTTTCCATTCTCTTCATTCACCCCTCCTTTTTCCCCCATCGTTTTCTCGTTCTTCCCCAATATTGGTCACCAGTCTTCTTCACTCTCCTCTCCCAGTTACTTCACCTAGCAACAATAAACCTGCATTGTTTCTTTCTCCCCCCTACTTTTCTCCTTCTCTTCCACCCCTCCTTTTTCTTTCTTCAAACCATTCTTTCCTTCCCTCCCTCCCTCCCTCAAACACAGACATGGCAAAACTTGGGCCCTCCAGATGTTTTAGACTTCCAACTTCCACAGTTTTAAGAGCCTCAGGCCACATCCTCAGTCGCTTAAGTTTGTTGAGAAAGGCAGGGTATAAATATGGTAAATCTATATAAATTTTAAAAATGTAATGTTCATTTGTGAGATTAACATAACTCAAAAACCCCTGGGCGAGTTGCTGCCACATTTGGCCACAAGACACCTACTAATCCAAGGAGCAACCATCACTAAAAAAAAATTTGATTTTGTCATATGAGAGTTGTAGTTACTGGGATTTTTAGTTCACCTACAATCAAAGAGCATTCTGAACTCCACCAATGATGGAATTGAACCAAACATGACACACAGAACTCCCATGACCAACATAAAACACTAGAAGGATTTGGTGGGCATTGACCTTGAGTTTGGGAGTTGTAGTTCACCTACATCCAGAGAGCACTGTGGACTCAAACAATGATGGATCTGGACCAAACTTGTCACGAACATGCCATATGCCCAAATATGAACACAGGTGGAGTTTGGGGGAACTGTACCTTTACGTTTGGGAGTTGTAGTTACTGGGATTTATAGTTCACCTACAATCAAAGAGCATTCTGAACCCCACCAATGACAGATTTGGGGCACACTTCCCACAAGGAATCCCCATAACCAACAGAAAATACTTAAGGCCAGCCAGTCCAACTCCCTTCACCAGGGCAAGAAAATGTTATCAAAGCCTCCTAACGAAGAGCCATCCAGCCATAGATATAGATAGATATATATGATTCACACACAGAGAGATATAGTATCATAGAGTTGAAAGGGATCCCTAAAGAAGGACAAATATATTTTGCATGATCCTGAGTAGGCAAACCACACAATCTCCACATCAACACTGACAAAGAAACAGCAAGAAATACTATATACCCACAAGCATAAAGGCATTACATATATTAGAAACCAACACTTTCTCATTACTTTATTTTCCAGATCACCAGACGGCCACAGCAACACATGGCCGGGGACGGCTAGTAAATAAATAAAAGAGTTGTGACCCAAAACCTGCTTTTTTTTTGCAAATTGCTTCCCTCCCACATCAAGCAGAAGTTAGTGGGAATGTTCGCTCTTTGACTCCTTCCCTTGAGTCATTTTATTCTGGGCATTTAATGTACTTTTTGTCCTTCATCTATATTTTTACAAGGTTTTATTACTTTGAAAATAGACTTTTATTGTCTATATTTTGGCATATAACCTATCTTAGATAATGCACTAGAGAGACTGAATATGGTGTTTATCTTTGTTATATTTTTTTGAACAATTCTTAGGTAGCTGCACTGTTGCTGACTTGCCTCGATTTGCTTATTCTGAACCTAAACGTGGCTTAGGTCCAGGGCCTTTTATAGATGGCTTCTTTGTTACATATACCTGCAAATTAGGCTTTGTAAAGATTCCTGGAAAGAGAAGATACACTGTGTGCCGAAATAATACTTGGTCACCAATAGAAGAATCTTGTACCGGTATGTGCTGCTCTAAAATACAAGAATGATATTTACCTGGCTTTTTTCAAAAGATTAAAACAAGACTGGACTTCATATGACACACAAGGCAGGTTTTTATGGCCCATTGTAATAAACTTGTAGTATGTGCTAATCTAAGATGAAAAATGATGTTTAATTGGCTATTCCTAAAAAAATTACTTTAATTCTTGAGTGGGCTTCATATGACACGCAGCTGGTTTTGATTTTCTTAGATATTCTCAGTAGGAGGTATACTGATAATACCTGGGAATATCAAAACCATCATTGTGTATTTTTAGGGTGGATGGGGTGACCACCGTCCCATAGATTTCTTTTTCACTTTTGTGATTTGCAGAATGGCATATGTTAAACTGACAGTGAGTTGAAGAGGACAGTTGAGGCTGCACACATTCCAAATTAGGCCTTAGAGACTGCCTCCTTTTTTGTACTTATTTTGAAAATTCAAAATACCTGGTGCCTCTGTGACACAAAGGTTGAGTGGTTTTCAGCCTCTGGTCCGCCAGGTGTTGAACTTCAAGTCTCACAATTCCTGACAGCGGGTAAGTTGGCTGGGATTTCTGGGAGTTGAAGTCCAAAACACCTGGAGGACCAAAGGTTCGGAACCACTTCTCTACGAGAATGGAAGGGCGGTTTCACTGTCCCTTTCCCTCAGATGTTTTGAGCATCAGACAGGCTTATTTCCAAAGGAAGAAATAAACTAGTTCTAATAAGGAGTGCTAGATTGAAAGCAACCAGATAACAAGATCTACTAAATTCCCCTCTTTTAAACAACCATTAGGAACATGAGTACTATACTTTACAGGTAGCTGCTCTGAGGCCCCTCCCTCTTTTCTGTCAAAAAATACCCAATTTGTCAAAATGACCCCCATAGGTTTTAGTTTTAAAATCTTTTAACTCCTTGATCCTTCTCTGCTAGACATGTTTCAGTTTGTAAATACTTCTTGAACTCTAATATTCAAAACAGTATTCCAGGTGAGGTGTGACCTAACAGAACTACAACTATTCTTTCCCTTGATTAGACCAGTGGTTCTCAACGTGTGGGTCCCCAGATGTTTTGGCCTTCAACTCCAAGAAATCCTAACAGCTGGTAAACTGACTGGGATTTCTGGGAATGTAAGCCAAAACGCCTAGGGACCCACAAGTTGAGAGCTACTGATCTAGACACAAGTGCATTGGTTTTTTTTTGCATCAAACAACTGTGTTGACTTATTTTAATTTTGAACTCCCAGATTCCTAACATGTGTTTTCATCTTCACTGCTCGAGTTGGATGTTGGTTATCCCATTTTTTTGCATCTTTTGATTGCCTTAAAATAAATACAAAATAAATAATTATTTTAACAATATATGTAAACGTCGCTAAACAACAGCTGGGGATGGGAGCTGTTTGTTTGAGAATAACTAATAAAGATAGGCCTAACTAATATTATACTCCATACTATTCCAAACCATAAACTCTGTAATAACCTAACATTAATATTGAGATGAATATTGAAATGCAATAATTAATAGCAAACTAAGACAAATAGAGACTACATGAACCTAATCTAACACAGTTTGCCAGTTTTTCTGAATTATAAAAAACAGCTTTTAAAAATATAAAGTATTTGAGGTTTGGTTGCTTGTTAACTGGGTATCTGTTGTAATAAGCACTGAAAGAACAACTTGGTAAGCAACCAAGACAGCCATGTGCAGGACTTACTTACATAGCTGCTTCATACCTGGGCTTCTTTGGTGGAAATTTTCAGCTTTCTAATTTTCTATTTGCCAGCATCATTGAATATGAATAAAACTATAATAAATAAGAAAAATACACCAGATACTGTCCATCCAAAGAAAGCCTGTACAAATTGCATATTTACAAGGTAACAAGGTAATGATGACTAGAGTTGGAAAGGATTATGGTAATGCTAAATGGATTGACGGATTTTAGAACTCGATAAACGCGGGCTGTAGATTGGCTTTTTATTTGATATTGTATTAATTGTATGTTTTTAACTATTGTGTTTTTCGTTATTGCATTTTTATTGTAATTGTTGGCATCGAATTTTGCCGGATGTAAGCCGCCCTGAGTCCCCCCTAGGGGGTGAGAAGGACGGGGTAGAAATCCCCAAAATAAATAAATAAATAAATATTCATTCATTCATTCATTCATTTTATAGTCTGCCTTTTCCCCAAGTCTACAACTCAATATAGCTTTCACATTAAAAATAGTGGAATACAACTCTCCTGCTACATCAGCTCTATTGGCTGCCAGTCTGCTACCAAGCACAATTCAAAGTGTTGCCTTTAGCCTTTAAAGCCCTAAATGGTTTAGCCCAGCTTACCTGTCCGAACATATCTCTATGTACCACCTTGGAGATTAAGATCTGGGGAGGCTCTGTGCCCAGTCCCACCTCCTTCGCAGGTGAGGTTGGTGGGATGAGAGACAAGGCCTTCTCAATGGTGGCCCCTCAGCTGTGGAACTCCCTCCCCAGCTATATCAGATCAGCTCCCTCCCTCTTGTCCTTTAGAAATAAATTTGGACTACTTCAGTGCAATAAGTGGATACGGAATAAGTGCAGTTATGACTGCAACGGCTTTTGGACTATAATTTTGGATTGTGTTTTAATAATTGGTTTAATGTTTAGATGTTTTTTAACTTTGTGGTTTTTAATGTATATATTTATTTTATTTGTATGTCTGTTTATGCGATATTTAATTGTTGCCTACTTGTAATATGCTCTGAGTCCCCTTCGGGGTGAGAGAGGGTGGGGTATAGAAATAGTAAATTAAAAAAAACAAAACCTTACAGAAAGCCACATTAAAACAATACCAAATGGCTACTAAACTTAATGATAGCTGACCAAGACAACCAAGATAATCTGTTACAGTGCCAAAAGTGGCATATTGCCCAATAGTTAACAAACGCCATTGCCCTCTGGCTAGTTCAGGTATGGAAACTGTTGAGTAGCAGAATGGGAGGTAAAATAATAATAATAATAATAATAATAATAATAATAATAATAATAATAATAATAATGCTGCTTTATTTACATCCTGCCCCCTCTCCCCAAGGGGACTCGGAGTGGCTCACAACAAGGAAAACAATATAAATAATAATAATCACATTTACAATGCAGAGAATGTTAAAACTAAAACAGCAAATCAAAAGAAAAACAAATCATAATACATAAGAAAAAATAAAGCACAAACCATGTTCATAATAGCGCAAAACATCAATCATAAATATAAAACTAGGTTATAATTGTTGGAGTTCAATCCCAAACTGCCCAAGTCTCAAGTCTTCAAAGAGGAACAGTTTAGTTAGCTTAGAAAAGTCTGAGGGTTTCCCTTCCCCCATCTCTCCTGTATGACAGTTGAGAATGTATCTTTTTCTTCTCTCTTCTCAGATTCTGATTGGTTGTTTAAAATGGATACTTTTCTACTGCTAGCCTTTTGAATCTGACTTTAGCCTTTTATATCTTTGTATGTTGTGTGTGCTTTGAGATCTCTCTCTGCATGTGTCAGAGAGATGTAGTGATTGGTCTTTCCCCCCTCTTTTTGAAACCTTAGAAGAGATGGGTCTTAGAATAGCTCAGACCCAGTTCTCTACCATGAAGAAATGTTGTTAGTTCTTTATTATTGTAAATAAACCTTTTGTGATTTTTAAGATTTTACTCTGCCTAAGCTCTAAATTCTTCACAACCACATCACATGATACGTCATGCTTTGCTTTCTGTGAGCTCACACTCAAGCTTTTAGTATCCTGTTTGATTTTTGGATACTCTGCTATTTTAAGATAGTTTTCCCTAACAATAATTAAGACATGTGATACACTAAAAACCTCACAAAACCTACTGTTGTTAAAAAGGCTGTAAGATCCAGTTAAAATTAGTCTCGTTTCAAACCTTCATCACTTAGATTACAACTAGCCATTTTCGAAAGCCTGCTTCCAGAACCATGTTTTCAGTTGTTTCCTAAAAGTCGTTAATGTGTGGGAGCTAGTCTAATCTTGGAGAGGGTGTTCCAGAGCTGGGGGGGGGGGCACCACTGGGAAGGCCCTTCCCCTCATCCCCACCAGCCGTACTTGTGATGAAGGTGGGACCGTGAGACGCTCTTCCCCAACAGCTCTTACAGCCCGTGCCGGTTCGTAGGGAGGAGATGCAGTCACACAGATAGGCTGGACCTGAGCCGTGTAGGGCTTTGTAGGTAATAACATGCAATTTGAATTGGGCCCGGAAATGCAGAGGCAGTCAGTGAAGCTGTTTTAACAGCGGGGTGGTATTCTCCCTGTAGTTAGCTCCTGTTAATAACCTGGCCACTGTTCTTTGTACCACTTGTAATTTCTCAGCCATCTTCAGAGGCAGCCCCACGTAGAGTGCATTGCAGTGATCCATCTGAGATGTAACCAAGTCGTGGACCACCATGGCCAGATCTAGTTTTTCAAGGTACAGGCACAACTGGCGCACAAGCTTTAATTGTGCAAAAGCCTTCCTGACCACTGCCGACACCTGAGCTTCAAGGGTCAATGCTGAATCCAGGAGCACACCCAAGCAGAATCCCTGTTCTGTTTCAACCAGTCACCTTTTGGTATATACATTCAAAACTCTCAGAGAGTAGGAAAAGGCATATTGTTGGGCTAGAGTCAGAGTAAAATACTGCAACTCTTATCTCTTTAGATGACAGTTCTTTGTTACACAGAAAAACAAGGAGGGCAAAGCTAACATTAACTCACACATAAAACCAGTTTTGTGCCTCTAACTGATACAGGCATGACTAAAATATTGTTCCAATTATGTATCCCTTTTGACACATGAAAACTTGGAGGAAATACCCGTATGACATTCTCTTCAAAGCAATTTGTTCCTTCTGCTGACAAACACGTAAGCATGCATGGCATTAGTTAGATTTCATTAGTACTTTGCTTTCTCATCTTGGATCTAGCTGAATTTCATAGTAGAGAATTTTGAAAGAGTTGATGCAGAATATAGTTCTGAATAAAAAGCATGAATTCAATTTTCCATTTGCTGTAGATTGTAAAAATATTCACATCTGTTTTCAGCGTCAAAGTGTGACGATCCCATTGTTGAGCATGGTACAAAAATAAGTGGATTCAAGCAGTTATATAGTGATGGTGACAATGTGACATTTGAATGTAACATTGGATATTTCATGATTGGAAGTTATTTCATTCAGTGTGACAATAATACCTGGTATCCCACATTGCCATCTTGTAAAACAAGTAAGTTTTTCTTTTAAAAAGCATTTATTTATCATTTATGTTTCCTTATTACCTTCTGGAACTGTGCCATTGACTATATATATATATATATAGATAGATAGATAGATAGATAGATAGATAGATAGATAGATAGATAGATATAGATATAGATATAGATGACAACCGATGTCATCTTACAATGCTGAATCTATCCCCTATCAGCTTTATATATATATATATATATATATATATATATATATATATATATATATATATATATATATATATATATATATATGCTGATAGGGGATAGATTCAGCATTGTAAGATGACATCGGTTGTAATGACTCTTATCTGTCTTCTGATTTAATTTAGGGGTGTATTCTGGAAACTTCTTTATATTGAACTGGGATAATGGTTCAGGACTAGTTGTGGAATAATGAGAGGCATTTGTGGTTATAGACCATCCTTGAAACATTAATTCAATATGTAAAAGTATTCAACAGAATCAGGAGACAATTGAAGACAAAAGAACAGCCAAATTGAGAAACAGATGGCAGTCTGCAAAATATAGATGCAAGACTGCAACTTGATATACTCTAGAGATCCCTGTGGAAACTAATGTTTTAACTATACTAATTTCTGGTTGGCTTTCAACCCCAGTTCAAGATTTTAATTTCATATGCAAAACCCTATAACATTTGGGCAAAGAGATTGTATACAAGTTGGCCGAGGGCATTAGAAGGGCTAGTTCCTTCTATGTAATCTTGGCCAAACATCTTAACAGAGACCCTGTAATGTGATCTCTCACCTCAATTGGTAAATAGGGTGAGATAGAGCATTTTCAGTAAAAGCTCACTTACTATGGAACTGTCTACTAAGAAAAGTCTGGATGTTCCATCCTTTTTCTGTTTCTAATTGGCAGGTATACATGCAGATTAAATAATCTCCAAAAATAATATCCGCCCCAAATGTAGCTTGTTTTTTTCAGCTGTTGCCGTTCTCATTACAGTTGTTAAAGATTTCTGTGGTGCTCCAATACTCCCATATGGGATGGTAGAGCCAGTGAGGCTTCAATATCATATTGGATCCATCATTGCTGTATACTGCAAGCCAAACTATTCTTTCCCCGATGAAACCATAGAGATGTCTCTAACATGTGACGGCTTTAATATATGGGAACCTAATGTACAGCCTTGTTTCCGTATGTATGACTCCAAATCTGTCTGTTCATATTTTGTTTCACTTAAAGCTATATGCAGGTTTTTTTCTCACTGTCTAAAACAGCAGTCTTTAGCCTTTCTGAACCAGTGAGAGATATTTGAAATAACGGCAATGTATCATTGGTACTATCATAAAACAGCTGCTGTTGAGAATGTCATAAGTGGTTGTTGTTAGTGAGGCTAACAGACAAGGAGCCGTCTCAAACACTTGAACAGAAGGAAGAAATGCCACCTGAGTCACAAAACACAAAGCTGTTCCTTTGCATCCAATTTTCCTTCTTGTTTAGGACCCGTACTTCTCCCATACATCAACCCCACTCTGCCTACACATTCCCTTTACCTCATATTTTCAGGGCACAGGATCTACTCCCTCCTGTCACTTTTTGCCTCCCTGCTTACTTTTTCACAACGGTTCCTTTCCACAGAACTCCCACATAGTTTGCATTTCTTTTGAGCCATGCATCTGTCTTCATCTCCTTGATATATGATGCTTCAATTTTTGTAGAAAACTTCTCCTTCCTCTTAATGAGTTCCTTCATCAATCCTTATTTTTTTGTCAGTAATCTTACACTTGGTGGAAGCTATCTGACCTGAAATATACAGATAGAACAACACGATGGGCTCCACCTTCCAGGAATGAAAAGTGCCTTGGCAAATATGTGTTCTCCAAACTCACCCATTCAGGACACCTGAAGGAGACATGCTCAATAATAATGAAATCTGGTCAGGGTTGCAGAAGACTTGCCAAGATCATAGTATCTGATATCTACTCATATCCAAGAAACCCAGGATGTAATGTTCTTGGACCTCAAATGGCAAGAATAATGGGAGGGTTTTTATTTTTCATGTTAGGTGTGACTTGAGAAACTGCAAGTTGCTTCTGGTGTGAGATAATTAGTCATCTGCAAGGATGTTGCCCATGGGACGCCCAGATGTTTTAATGTTTTACCATTCTTGTGGGAGGCTTCTCTCATATCCCCACATGGGGAGCTGGAGCTGACAGAGTGGGGGAATACCTAAAGAGAAGTGGATTTTGCATGTTCCTTGGACAGTGTAGATAAAATGCATTGATTTTATTGAAGTACATTTCTCTTGTAGTAAATCCTTTTTAGTATTGAACTAATTACAAGGGTTTATTAAATTCAACTGGCATTAATTAATATTTTCTTTTTTCCAGTCAGAACTTCACCTGACACTTCTAAGTTCTTTCTTCATAATGGAAAAATAATCCATGGAAAGAAAAAAATCTATGAGCCTGGAGATAACATTACAGTTGAATGTCAACCTGGCTATGCATTAAATGGTCCACGTGAAATTCGATATGTTGGTGGGGGGAAGTGGTTGCCTGTACATCCAAGGTGTTACCTGAGTATGTATAAAGTCTATGAATGTTATCAGATCATTTGTGTGCAAGATGGATTTGCCTTTTGATGTCCCTATTTTTTCTCAAACAAGGGCCTATAATAACAACAACAACAACACAGCCGTTATCAGGACTTCAAAATCAAACTGCAAAGGCTCTGGCATAAACCAGTACGGGTGGTCCCAGTTGTGATCGGCACACTGGGTGCCGTGCCAAAAGATCTCAGCCGGCATTTATAAACAATAAACATTGACAAAATCATGATCTGTCAACTTCAGAAGGCCACCTTGCTAGGATCTGTGCGCATCATTCAAAAATACATCACACAGTCCTAGAGGCTTGGGAAGTGTTCGACTTGTGACTTTATGATATGAAATCCAGCATATATATCTCATTTGCTGTGGCATACTGTGGTTTTGTGTCAGTAAAATAATAATAATTGTTGGGGAATCTGAGCAGTTAGGTGCAAAAATAACATTCAGTTGCCGTGATTCCACCGTGATTCCATGTGGGAGGAGTTGGAGAAGGGCCTTGAAAAGAGAGCGGGGGGAGATCAGCGGGGGCAGCCAACCAGGCATGGCACTCCTCCCTGCGCCCTCCCTCTGCCCCCCTCCCTCCTCCTCCTCCTCCTCCTCCTCCTCCTTCCTCCGTCCCTCCTGCTCAGGCCACGCCGCTAAGGGTCTTGTCCCCACTGCTGCCGCTGCTCTCCCCGCTCTCCTTTCAAGGCCCTTCTCTGCTCCTCCCACATCGCTATTTGCAGGCAGCCAGGAAAGAGGGAAGCCGATTGGCTTTCTTGGGCCTAGGTGAGTGTCATGTTGCCAGGGCTCTGCTGTTATTTTCAGCAGAGGTAAATGAAACAAAAACCCAGTTTGATATAAAACAGTTTAATTAAAACAGCACTTACTTTCTGGCTGTTTTAATAGATCAAAATATAAAGCATAAAGATAGCACTCAGCCACAGAATAAACAAAAACTGATAGCAAAAGCTACACTGTAGTCAAAGGGTCCAGTCCAATGATCAAACACCAAGAGTTCAATAAACAAAGTCCAGGGATCAAGAGTCTATACCGTAGTCAAAAGCCAGTCCGAAGGTTCAAGGTTCCAGGGTTCCAAGATTACAGGAGACAGATCAGGATACCGAAAATCCAACAGACCTGGGGAGAAAACCAGCAGCATCCACCACCAAAATATGACAATACTTTTCTCCCAAAGATCATTTCCAAGGCTCACTCCTTATATCCAGAAACACCCAGCTGCAACCTATCTCTTGCATACCTCCATCCTTAATTGCTTTCACCCATGAACTCACTTAAAGATTACTAAACCCTTTAGAACTAATACATTAACCCATCACCAAGCACCATCAACTGCAGAACATATGACATCGAGCCCAGTGGCCTTTGAAGGCTTCTGCCAGCCGATCGAGTGCACTTCCTCTCTCTCCCGGCTGCCTGGAAATGGCAACATTGTAGGAGTTGAAGAAAGGCTTTGAAATTAGAACAGGGAGAATAGCGGGGGCAGCCCAGCGGGCCTGGTGCTCCTCCTCCCTGTGCCTTCCCTCCCCCTCCTTCGCCCTCCTCTGCCCTCATCCTCCCTCCCTCCCTTCCTCCTCTTCCTCAGGCTGTGCTGCTAAGGGACTTGTCCCCACCTCCACCGCCGCTCTCCCTGCTCTAATTTCAAGGCCCCCCAAATCCTCCCACAACACTATTTTCTGGCAGCCAGGAGAGAGAGAAAGGAAGCAAGGCCACCTGAGTAGCCGGCAGAATCCTCTGAAGATCACTGGGCTCACCAGGCCCAAGGAAGCACCTCTGGACTACGACTCCCAGCAGCCTTAGGCAGCAGCGTGCCTTGAACTTGCTCGCTGAGGCATTCTGGGAGTCATTGTTACCGAATCAATAAAATTGTGTTGGAAATGGGCTCTTATACGGCGAATATATCCCTAACTCAATATTTTAACTTGAAAAGTTGGGGGTCGTCTTAGGTGCCCAGTCGTCTTGTACTCCAGAAAATATGGTAATTCAAAACTAAGATGCAGTTTTCAAAATAAGTGAAAAATGTCTTCTAGCAATATAACTATATTCACGATGAGCTACATCAGTGAATAGTTTTTTTCATGCTGTGACTTCAAGTTTTATTACTTTTTTGAAGTTAGTATAAAGCATTTGTTGTATAATTACACATCAAAATGTTTTTCTCTCTTTTAGATGCTTTTTTTACACTACTAATATCAGGTATGTATGCATATAAGCTGCGCCCCTTCCTTGGTAAGTCTGACTTGGCCATGGTGGTCCACACTCTGGTTACATCCAGAATAGACTACTGCAATGCTCTCTACGTGGGGCTGCCTTTGCAAACTTCTTGGAAGCTTCAATTAGTCCAACAGTCAGCAGCCAGATTGTTAACTGGAGCGGTGTACAGGGAGCGTACGACTCCTTTGTTGCGCCAGCTCCACTGGGTGCCGATTAGCTTCCGGGCACATTTCAAAGTGCTGGCTTTAACCTTTAAAGCCCTGAACGGCTCTGGCCCAGATTATTTGTCTGAACGTATTTCCTGCTATGAACCATCACGAAGCTTAAGATCATCAGGAGAGGCCCTGCTCTTGATCTCACTACCCTCGCAAACGCAGTTGATGGGGATGAGAGACAGGGCCTTCTCGGCAGTGGCCCCCTGTGGAACTCCCTCCCTAAGGACATCAGGTTGGCCACCTCCCTCCTGTCCTTAAGAAGACAACTGAAGACCTGGCTCTTGGGCAAGGTGTTTGATTCTATGACAGTGACAATACGAAAAGGAATTTGGGTTTGATTTTTGGTTTTACTGGCATTATAATATTATTGTTAAATGAACTTATTGGCTGATTTGTATGATGTTTTAAAGATGTTTTTACTGTTTTAATTGTATTCTTATGATGTATATGTTGCAAGCATTGTTGATGCCTATGTGAGGTCTCCCTGGGTCCCCCCTTGTGGGGAGAAGGGCAGGATAGAAGTATACGAAATAAATATGGGTTGCTTACCTGTAAACATAGTTTCCCGAGTGGTAGCCTGTATTCACACCATTGGTATTCCCTGCGCTCGCGCAGGCCAGCAACGGACATTCCCAAGCTACTAACTGACCGTTAGAGAAGCCCCGCCCCTTTCTCTCCCCCCATAAATAGCCCTGCCGCGGGGCTTCCAGCCAGTTCTTCCGCCGCAGAAAAAGGCAGCCAGAAGCCCTGGGGCATGACCAACAGTGTGGGGAGGATGGGCGGGACGTGTGAATACAGGCTACCACTCGGGAAACTATGTTTACAGGTAAGCAACCCATATTTTCCCCGCGTGGTAGGCCTGTTATTCACACCATTGGTAGACTAGCGAGCTGCTAACCTTGGAGGAGGGTGTCATGCCACAGCTGAAAACAGGACCGCCCGTCCGAAGGCTGCATCCTTCTTTGATGCTATATCCAGTTTATAATGTGCCACAAAGGTAGACGGAGTTGACCAAGCTGCAGCTCTGCACACCGCATCCAATGGTACTCCACGTAAGAACGCCGTCGACGTCGCCATCGCCCTTGTAGAGTGAGCTTTCACCTGTAAAGGTAAGTCCTTCCCTGCCAAAGTATAAGCCTTTCGTATTGTTAAAACTATCCATGATGAAAGGCGCTGTGATGACACTGGGAAGCCTAACGCATCCTTGCGGTACTTCAAAAACAACCTCGGGGATTTCCTAATAGCTGAAGTTCTGTCTAAATAAAAAATTATGGCCCTACGTACGTCCAGTAAATGAAGGGTCTTCTCCAAAGGAGAAGTTGGGTTCGGAAAAAGGGCAGGAAGTACTATCTCTTGAGAGAGATGAAATTTCGTGGCTACCTTTGGTAGAAAAGCTAGGTCAGTCCTAAGGACCACTCTATCCTTGTGCAATCTTAAATACGGTTCGTCATGTCTAAGTGCACAAATCTCTCCTGCTCTGCGTGCTGATGTTATAGCCACCAGGAACGCTGTCTTCCAAGATAGGAAAGACAGATCTACTGTTGCCATAGGTTCAAATGGTGGTCTCGTCAGAGCCGAGAGAACTACCTCCAGGCTCCATGCCGGGGCCACCGGCGTTACTGGGGGCCTGATATTTCCAAAACCTTTCATGAATTGTGAAACTAGCGGATCGCTAAAACAAGACGGAAGTCCTGCCTTTCTACGGAACCATGTTAGAGCAGCTAAATAACACTTCAATGAGGACAAGGTAAGGCCTTGGTTAGCAAGTGACATCAAAAAGTCTAGTATTATCCTTGTTGGGGCTGTGCATGGGTTTGTTCCTTTTTCCTGAGCAAATTTCGTAAACCGTGACCATTTGTAAATGTATGATTTTCTTGTGGATACCCTCTGTGCTGCCTCAAGGACCCTTTTCACATCTTTGGAGAAATCCGAATTCATTCCTCTTGAATTGGAAGGATCCTCCAAGCAGTCAACCTCAGGGTCTGAACGTCTGGGTATAGGACCTGATTGTTCTGGATTGATAACAGGTCCTTTCTGCCTGGAAGTGGTTTGTAAATTTTCCTTGACAATCGAAGTACTAGGGCAAACCACGGCTGGCGAGGCCACCATGGAGTTACAAGGATTCCCGTTGCCCTGTCTTGGCATAGTTTTGAGACTACTCTCAGTATCAGAGGGAATGGTGGGAATGCATAAACCTCCCGTATTCCCCAATGGAGTAAGAATGCGTCCCCTAGACAATCCTGTCTCATATCCCCTCCTGTCCACGCGCAGAACAGGCGACACTTCCTGTTCTCTTGCGTCGCAAACAGATCTACTGCTGGTGTTCCCCATGTTTTGAAAAGAAGGGATGTTACCTCCCCGTGCAGTGACCATTCGTGATGGCTGAGAGGATTTCTGCTTAGGAAATCTGCCAGGGTGTTCTGTTTCCCTGGCAGATGGACCGCTGTGAGTTGGATTTTCCTCTCCACACACCAGTGCCATATTTGAAGTGTCAATGCCAACAGAGTGGGGGAATGTGTGCCGCCCTGCTTGTTGATGTAAAATTTCACAGTCGTATTGTCTGTGAGAATTTGGACAATTCGATTTTCTAACACTGGTTCGAAGGCCTTTAGCGCCTTGTCTACTGCAAGTAGTTCCAATTGGTTTATGTGTAAAACAGATTCCATTGCTGACCATTTCCCTTGAGCTGTGAGATCGTCCACATGAGCTCCCCACCCCAGAAGTGAAGAGTCCGTGGTTACAACCTTGGAAGCAGCAGACTCCCGGAAAGGCAGTCCCGCACATACATTGCCGCGCTCCAACCACCACAATAGGGATTCTTGTATCACCCCAGGTAATGAGAGGAGCGTGTACGGCCTGTGCACCAAAGGATTGAATACTGACAGGAACCATGATTGTAGCGGTCTCATGTGCAGTCTTGCTAGAGGGGTTACTGCTGTTGTAGAGGCCATGTGACCCAGGACCACTTGAATCTCTCTGGCCTGAACTTTGTCTCGTTGGAGCAACTCCCGTATTAATCTTTCTAAGTTTAAGAAACGGTCGTCCGGAAGAAACGCCCTCTGCAACTGCGAATCCAATATCGCTCCGATAAACTGTATTCTTCTCGTTGGGGTGAGCTGGGACTTTTCCCAATTTACGATCAGACCTAGGGACTGGAGAAAACACAACGTTGTGTTGATATGCTCTATGAGTTTATCTCTAGATTTCGCAGTTACCAACCAGTCATCTATATACGGATAGACCGTAATCCCTGAGGTGCGTAGGGAAGCCGCCACTGCCGCCATGCACTTGGTAAAAACTCTTGGCGCGGTAGCTAGTCCGAACGCCAAGACATTGAAGGTAAAAGCCTGACGTCCTACCATAAACGCTAGATATCTCCTATGTTCTTTAGCAATTGATATATGAAAATAAGCGTCTTTGAGGTCTACCGTTGCGAACCAATCATTTTTATTAAGCAAAGGAAGCAATGTTTTCAAAGATAACATTCGAAACTTCTTAGGTGTTATGAATGAATTTACATCTCTCAAGTCTAATATAGGTCGCATTCCTCCTCCTTTCTTAGAAATTAGGAAATATCTTGAGTAGAAGCATAGCCTATGTTCCCCTGGCGGTAATGGAGAAATAGCTCCTTTAGACAATAGAGTGTTAATCTCCTCCTGTAGTAAAGGGGAGGGGGTTGTAACCCTAACTCTACCAACTGGTGGTAGTTCGTTAAACTCAATAAAATAACCGCTTTTAATAATCTTTAAGACCCATTGGTCGTTAGTAATTTCAGACCAGATGTCAAAATAAGGTGCTAAGCGATCTTCAAAAAAGGGATGCACTTTAGCACGTATTTCCTTACTTAAAAGTCCCAAACAGGAATTATGAGTAACTGTAGTAACATTCTGAATTTCAACATATGGATCGATTCCCTGAACAGGGGAAACTCCCATTGGACCATTCACAGCGGAACCAATGTCAAAAACGCTGTTTTGGGCCCCCCAGACGGCTAAGCTTATTCTGGTATGGCTGATAGCGATTCTTTGCCCCATAGGACTGCTTTCGTTGTCCAAATGATCTGTTAAATTGTGATGACTGCTGGCGTTGCTGCGTGGTCATATAGTTACCGAAATTTCTCTTGTAATATGGTGAAGAATTCTGCCACCTCGGTTTCTGTTGATAATTATTTTGCTTCGGAAAGCCATAAACTTGGATGGTCTTTTTCATCTCTTGGTTATGTTTGAGTCTTTCATCTGTTACTGGATTGAACAATCCATCCTGATGCATAGGAAGATCTTCCGCTAATATTCTGCCCTCTTCAGATAGGTCCGAAGCTCTTAGCCATGCATGACGTCTAGCTGACGTAGCAATAGCAAACATTTTGCCTGCTGATTCTGCTAAATGTTTAGCAAAGTCTTTTTGGTACCTTGAAACAATAAGGGCTTCTTTACTAAATGCATTTGGTAAACGCTGCTCATCCTCTGGAAGAAGAGTAATATATGGTGCCATTCTGTTCCATAAATAAGTCTGGTAAGCGCTGAAGTACGTAGCATAATGGGCCATCCTTGATATGAGGCCAGCTGCCATGTGCATCTTCTTTCCCATCACATCAATTTTCTTGCCCTCCTTATCTGCTGGGGCTGACGCTGTCTTCCTGGGTTTCTTCCCTTGACCCACTTCTGCAATCACTGTGTTGGGTCTGAACGGACGCACCAGCCAATCAGCATTCGCTAAGTCTACTCTATATAAACTGTCCACTCTCCTAGGCATTGCTGGTGCAGCTGCTGGAGATCCCTCAGGTACTTTTGTTAGCTTGAGTAAGTATGGCAAAGTTGGGAGAGCAGTACTAACTGGAGTTTCCTGCTGCTCAGCTGGAAACATAGGGTCTTCCACAGTGTCTTGTGGCTTTGGTGTTGGTAAATCCAGAGCCTTGATCATCCTGGCCAGCATTGCATTGAATTTTTTGAATTCTTCAGCATTAGTTTTATCTAGAACTGTATCTTTCGGTTCCTTTAGAATAAATGCATTTTCATCAGAAGAATCACATGGGTCTAGTACTGATTCTTGTTGAAAGCAGGGTGTAGATGGACCTTCTAATGGGTCCTCATCTTGGCTTAATGTATGTTGATTCCTCCCATGAAGGTCTCCATGGGAGTTACTCGGCTGGCAGTGACAAGGGGCAGGGCCTGCACAGTAAATCATTTGCCCTTGTGGAGTCATCTGCCAATAACCTCCCTGTGGGGGCATAGGAACTAATTTGCCATCCTGTCTGCCCACCCAATTCGAAGGAGCCTGATGCTTGGCTCTGTCGCTCCTTCCTCTAAGCCTTTTCTTCCCCTTCTTTGGAACAGGGGAGGAGCTAGAAGATGAGCTTCTTCTCTGCTTCTTCTTCCCTTTTTTTGGAACAGGGGAGGAGCTAGAGGGAGAGTCCCTCCTGGTCTTCTTCTTCTTCCCCTTTCTTGGAGCGGGGGAGGAGCTGGAGGAGGAGTCGGAGGAGGAGCTTGATGTGCTCCTCGATACGGAGCGCCGTCGACGCCGACGCTTCCCTTCCGCTC